GATTTTACCCAAGTTCGGCCACTCTTGAAAAGATAACACCCTACGTCCTGCTTTGATTCTATTGATTGAGGGCGTATAGAGTACATGTTGATCTACTATGAGATCGTGCATGAATGAGTTAGCCTTTACAGTCTACACCCCTCAGCTTATATAGCCATTGGGGTACCTAGGGTTACATAGGTTAGTTGCATCTAAGAATAACAAGTCGAAGATCGTCTTGGAGTCTTGGAGTATGCACCAAGTCTTCAAAGATACCATGTTGATTCTCCAGAGGGCCTGGCGAATGTGGCCCACTGGTTGATTACTTTGGGGGTCCTCGACTTGGCTCATATGTTCGGGAGCCAACATGGTACGCACCCCCTTATTCAGGACACCATCAGTACTCCATCCGTTCTTCAAGCAGAGAACATACCCGGTCGGCCCACGTTATCCTTCATCATTGGTCTTCGGTCTTGTAAACTGGTTGACGGTGTCCTGGGCTAGGGGGTATCAACCTAGTTGGCCCATAGTCCACGGGCCGGGCCTATGGCCCACCAATCTTATAATGAAGGACTCCGGAAGCCTTGGCGGCATAATCAAGGTGGACTCAGCCGAAGACTTGGCGTGCACTTGAAGGACTACTCCCGCCGCTGACGTGTATCTTCCTAGATGATAACCGACCATGTGTAACCCTAGAACTGTGGGGTTAGTCCGTAAAGAGAAGTACGATCACCTCCATTAGGGTTTAGTACATAACATACGATCTCGAGGTAGATCAAGCCTGTATTCGATACTCCATCATCAATATAATCAAGCAAGACGTAGGGTTTTACCTTTTCGAGAGGGCCCAAACCTGGGTAGCACATCGTGCCCTTCGTCTCCTGTTACCATTGTTCTTAGATCCACAACTTGGGAACCCCTAACCGAGATCTACTGATTTTAGTACTGACATTGGTGCTTACATTGAGGGTTCTGCCGTGTGATCAAAGAGGATCAATGGAACTCGATCGACGACCAAAACCCTCACGGCGTGTGATGCTTGTAACCCGCGTTGGTATTTCCCCGAAAAGAAGAGGATGATGCAGCACAACAGAGGTAAGTATTTCCCTCAGTTATGAAACCAAGGTTATCAATCCAGTAGGAGAACCAAGGAACACTATGTAAACAACACCTGCACACAAACAACAAATACTTGCAACCCAATGCGTAAAGGGGTTGTCAATCCCTCAACGGTATCGAGATAGACTTAATTGTATGAGATTTGATAAATAGATCTAACTTAAACAAAAAATAAAATAAAGGAAATTTGCAGCAAGGTATTTTTAGTTTTAATATATGGTAGGAACTAGACCTGGGGGCCATAGTTTTCACTAGAGGCTTCTCTCGAGAAAATAGCATACGATGGGTAAACAAATTACTGTTGGGCAATTGACAGAAAAGCAG